AAAAAAAAAAAAAAAGGAAAGAAAAACCTCATGAACACAAAGAGGGGAACCACACAGACACTGGGGCCTACTTGAGGGTGGAAAATGGAAGGAGGGAGAGGAGCAGAAAAAAATAACTATTGGGTACTAGGTTTAGTACCTAGGTGATGAAATAATCTGTACAACAAAACCCTGTGACATGAGTTTACTTACACAGCAAACCTGCACATGTACACTTGAACCTAAAAGTTAGAAAAGAATAATCACTTCTGTGGCATTCTTGTCAAAAATGCATTCTCTAATTATGAGGAGACATTAGCCAAACTCAAACTGAGGGCCATTCTACAAAGTAAATGGCCTGTGCTCTTCAAAAATGTCAATGTTATGAAAGATTATAAAGACAGAGGAGAGGCCAGGTGTGGTGGCTCATGCCTGTAATCACAGCACTTTGGGAGGCTGAGGCAGGTGGATCACTTGAGGTCAGGAGTTTGAGACCTAGCCTGGGCAACATGGCAAAACCCTGTCTCTACCAAAAATGAGTTGGACATGGTTTCCCACACCTGTGTGGTCCCAGCTACCCGGGAGGCTAAGGTGGGAGGATTGTTGGAGCCTGAGAAGTCAAAGCTTCAGTGAGCTGTGATTGTATCACTGCATTCCAGCCTGCGTGACAGAGTGAAACCCTGTCTCAAAAACAACAAAAAAAGCAAGGATGGCTTGTCCAATGGTAGTGGGTTATCAGAACTTATTAATAAAATTTGTGTCACTAAAGTTGGTATACAACCTCCTATTGCTAAATTTGCCTGGCTTAAAAAAAAAGAGAGAGAGAAATTGTTCCAGATTAATGGAGAGTAAAGAGACATGAATATTAAATGTATTGCATAATGCTGAAAGGGATACTAGGCCAGAAAAAAAGAAATTATATAAATGACATCATTGGCACAATTGGTAAAGTTTGAGAAATAACTGTATATTAAATATAACATCGAATCAATCTTAAATTTTCTGATTTCTGATTTTCTGGGTACATAAAACAATATCCGGCCCGGTGTAGTGGCTCACGCCTGTAATCCAAGCACTTTGGAGGCCAAGGCGGGCAGATCATCTGAGGTCGGGAGTTTAAGATCAGCCTGACCAACATGGTGAAACCCCATCTTAAAAAAAAAAAAAAAATCCTTGTTTTAGGAAATACAGAAATATGTATGGGTAAAGGTACATGATGTCTGCAAATTACTCTCACATCGTTAAGCAAAACAATATATATGCAGTATATATGGAAATAAAGATATAAATGTGATAAAGTATTAACAATTGGTGTAATTAGTGAATCTGGGTGAAAAAGTATAGAGGAATTTTTAGAATTCTTGGGATTTTTTTCTGCAAATCTGAAATTATTAAAAACACAATTTTTTTTTTTTTTTTTGAGACGGAGTTTCGCTCTTGTTACCCAGGCTGGAGTGCAATGGCGCGATCTCGGCTCACCGCAACCTCCGCCTCCTGGGTTCAGGCAATTCTCCTGCCTCAGCCTCCTGAGTAGCTGGGATTACAGGCACGTGCCACCATGCCCAGCTAATTTTTTGTATTTTTAGTAGAGACGGGGTTTCACCATGTTGACCAGGATGGTCTCGATCTCTTGACCTCGTGATCCACCCGCCTCGGCCTCCCAAAGTGCTGGGATTACAGGCTTGAGCCACCGCGCCCGGCCTTAAAAACACAATTTTTATTTTATTTTATTTTATTTACTTATCTTTGAGACAAAGTCTCGCTCTTGTCCCCCAGGCTGGGGTGCAGTGGTGCGATCTCGGCTCACTGCAACCTCCGCCTCCTGGGGGTCAAGGATCAAGCGATTCTCCTGCCTCAGCCTCCCAAGTAGCTGGGACTACAGGTGCCCACTACCATGCCCAGCTAACTTTTTGTGTTTTTAGTAGAGACTGGGGTCTCACCATCGGTCAGGCTGGTCTCAAACTCCTGACCTCAGGTGATCCGCCCACCTCGGCCTCCCAAAGTGCTGGGATTACAGGCATGATCCACCGCCCCGGCCAAAAAAACAATTTTTTAATCAAATCACCATCCAATCTAATTCCATCTCCACCATCCAATCTAATTCCATCTCCACCATCTACTACAGATGTGATCGTGGATAAGCCATAAACCTTTCAGAAACTCTAGAAAGCAACTACTAGTAGTATTATGGTAGAAAGGATTAACATTAAAGCGAAACTATAAAAATAAATACGATCACTGGACCATGACGCCTTTTCAATGAAATAAGGAGCAAGGGGCTTGGGCAAACGAGGATGCGGAAGATGCTCGGGGGTACCTCCCTTCCGGATCCCCAGGTCCTTGACCCCCAGCATGCAAGGGGCAGGGTTGAGGAGGAACCTCTTAGGCGTTCCTCCAAGCGGTCCTGAGGAGATAAAAGGCGTCAAAAGGGCCCCTCCACACCTGAGCTGCCGCCAAGCTCACTCAATAGGAGCCGGCGCATTTGAGGAGGCGCCTGCGAGGGTCGCTCCTCAGCCGCCGCGACCCCACTCCACGCCCCCACTCCTCGTCGCAGCGCCTCTGCCCGCCCGGAAGGTGGACGTGAAGCTCCAACACCTCGACTTCTGGGCCAGCCTCCATGGCCAGGTCCCGGGACTGCTGGACTGGGACATGGGGAATGAGCTCTTTCTGGCCTTCACCACATCTCACCTCCCCTTAGCCGAGCAGAAACGTGAGTAGCGGGTGGGGTGCGGCGGGGGCTGGGCGTGGCGGCGGGGCGGCTCCCCAGCCTTCGCCCCCACCTCCCGGGAAGGCTTTGGGGAGGGCCCCCAGGCTTAGCGCCTCCGCCCCCGCCCCACCCCCACTCGCGAACTCCACTTGGGAGTTGGGGGGGTTCGTTCCCGCCTTAATTGGAAGCTCCCCAAGGGCAGCTGGTCTCACCTAAAAACCGAGGCTTTCAACTCTACGTCACTCGCCAGGCTCCTAGAACGTTCCAAGGCCTCTTCTGGGTCTTTTCTCCGTGGCGCTGGTCGCCATTTGCCATTACTGTATATTTCAGTTACTTTTCTGTCTCTTAAAAAATCAGGCCTAATCGTTTTGTCCATGGCTGTATTCCTAATATATTGCCTGACGTCTAGACGTTCTCCGTACTTGCCGAATGCTTGGTTGACCATCATGATCTTTTAGGTTTTGTCTTCTTTGGAAATCAGGTGTGGAGAGTTGAGGTAATCACGCCTCACATTCCTGGTACCTTTTTGCCTACAAGGCCCTTGGATTAACTCTTTATTTTCTTCTTTTTTTTCTAATTTATTTTTTTAATACGCAGTCTCTCTCGGTGGCCCAGGCCCAGGCTGGAATGCAGTGGCGCCATCTCTGCTCGCTGCAACCTCTCCCCCTCCCCCCTCCCCCGCCGTGTCAAGCGATTTGCCTCAGCCTCCCAAGTAGCCTGGATTGCAGGCGGGCCCCGCCACGCCCTGTTAATTTTTGTATTTTTAGTAGAGGCAGGGTTTCACCTTGTTGTCCAGGCCAATCTCGTCCTCCCAAAGTGCTGGGATTGTAGGCCTGAGCCTCCGCCCCCGGCTTTAACTCTTCCTTTTGCCCCTTAAGTCTCCACCCCTTCTTCCATTTCCTCCACCCCTCCCGTTACCAGCCCTAATCCATTTAACGCCTGTTTTCTCCGCTCATTGGTTTTGAGAGCTATTGTTTTGGGTTGCTAAATTTAGGCCTGGTTCATTATTTCTGATTATTGTTGTTTTTTTTTTTTTATTATTTTTTTTTAAGACTAGTCAAGTGCAGTAGCGAGAAGGGGGGAAAGAGTAGAACAAGGAGTTGTTGAGGCCGGGCG